TCTTATTTTTCTCTGTATTTTTTCTTGCAAAAGATGTCATATTGTTGTTCTAAGTAGTCTACTTTGCGGAGCACAATCCTATAGTAACAAATCTATCATAAAACATCTTGTAGTGGTCAAAAGTTGAAGGTCTTAGTTCTTTCTTTGTGATTCTTATATGTCATCATCTGCTTGGATGTTGGTATTCTTTATTGCAGGATTTCAATCTCAATGTCAACTATGGTAAAGGGCCAATCTTAATAATCAACGGCTAGCAAAGTACATTTTTTGGCAACTTTAGGCTTCCATTTTGACTAGAAAATTCATAAATCAACTCGACTAAGCTACCCAATAAATGATGTATATTTGTAGATATTCATTGTCAAGCATTTTACTAGTTTACAAATATAGATGTATTAACAAAGATGCATTGCTTTATTGTAATACATTTTGTTTTGCTTAAGAATGCATTAGACACCTGACTGTGAAAGGTAATGTTGTGTTTTACAAATATCTAAAAAAATCCTAATAGGTTTCACTCATATAGGAAGAATGAAATTCGAATTTTAATTCAAAAGTACTTAAAGCAAATACAAAGTGTTCAAAGACCCTCTTCTTAGTAACCTCAAATATACATAATGTCTAATTGCCTTATTACTTTCATAATTAGGCAATTTTGATTTCTTTTTACAAGCCCTAATCCTAATCAATCAACTTTGGCAAGCTGCAATTCTTAATTTGGCTATCTATGAATTACAAAATTTTGCATACAAATGTCATTATAAGTCTTCTATATGGATAAAAAATTCAAGCCAATCCAACTTACAAATTATGTGAAAATGTCCAAAAACCGCATTAATATCACTTGGCTACTAACTTAAAAGGTAATGCAGATGTTTCAATAGAAATTTCTCCTTCTTCAACCATTAATTTCAATTCAAAATCATTTTTTAGCTTGATCTTGAAGTCTTCTAATACAATGCCAAATTTCACCTTTATCCAACAAGTAAATCTTTAGATATCATAGAAATCCTCAACTTCAAACTGCCAACTTCTAATGCCTTCTTGTACCAAAATCCAGATATCTCTCAAATGCATTGTTAGATTAATAAAAAGTTATATAAAAATTTAGAAAATTTAATTAGCCAAGCATTCTCAAATTTTGAACTATAAATGTGACACCAATTGCATGAACTAGTTGAGAGTGCTAGCCTTATTTATTTTGCATAAATTCTAAATCATTGATACAAACTCAAACTTTGAACAATAATTTTAAATCTTTTTCAAATTCTAAAAAAATAAGCCTTATACTTCTAAATTAAGCTTAAAGCTAGCTCACAAATTCCAATTGCCAATCTTCAAATGAATTTGTATTTCGACCCTGTCCCACAAATGGTCGACCTCCATGTATCAATCCGATCTATCTTAAGCATATTTTAGCTCAATCCTACCTTTAACTTAATCTTAGTATTAGCCATATTAATTATTTATCTTTTTTATCCTATTTTTACTAATTTATGGTTTTTCTAAGGCATTAAAAGAAATTCTACAATTTAGAAGGTAAAATTACTAACCAACCTTTAATCTACTAGCTATTAAGACAAGAAAATAAACTAAGAGGCTTTTATAAAAGCCATGTTTAAATATCTTGAATTATTATTGAATCAAGATGATTAAATATTAGTATATTTATGTTAATCAAATAATAATATTAAAAATATCCTTTAAAGTAAATAAAAAGTATTTTATGGTATTATATATATATATATATATATATTAATAAAAAATTAAAAGCTTAATAATAATATTTTTATTTAGATATAAATAAACTAGTTTTTTTGTTCATTCCTTTTTATATATGTAATATAAAAATAAAATATATAAAAAAACATAAAAAAAAATTATTTAATATTTAAGGAGATTAAATTATAATTTATGTATTCTAATTCAAATAATTTTATTTCAATGTTCTAACATCGTTACTATTTTTTTGTAATTTTTAAATTTTAATTTATTTTAAATGATTTTTATACATTTATTTCATAAATTTTATAATTCTATATTCATGTATTTCAAAATCTCCATGTATGATTGAATTGTATATTATACACATTTCTACTTGAGATATTTATAAGATATTCAAATGAAGTGAAATTGATGAAATAAATATAAAATAAATAAATAACTAATATTATAGTAGATAAGACTATACTGATTATTATTTCTTAACTTACAAGTTAGAAATATAACATGCATAATCATGGTAAAAAAGAACAAAATTTGATTTTTAGTAAAATTTTTGTTATACTTCCATTTTTATTTTATTATTTTTATTATTTTCATTCATTTTGTAAAACAATACATACTTTTTAAAATAAATTTAAAAACTTACATATACATATAAATCATATAAATTTTTAATTTTTAAAAACATTCATGCATCTTAATATATATATATATATATATATAACTTCATCAAACTAATTCAAATATATTGTTCTATAATTCATAAGAAAAATTTAAAATAATAAAATAGAAATGAATAAATAAATAAATATATGTTTAATATAATGTTTTAAAAGAATCCAAAACAAATAGGTATAATTCATAGTGCTCTTTAATCATCTCCAATAAACTGAAAAATATATATAATACAAATTAGATGAATTAAATAAAGACAAACAACGAGAATCCTCCATCAAGAGGTTGAGCAATAACAATCTCTTGTGTTGACGATAGTGATGACGCTCAAGTCTTTGTTGAGTCGTGATTCCATTGTTGAAGGAGAAGTTGATTGAGTTCATCCATTTGTTGAAGAAGAGCAAGAATTTACTTTCTTCCAAATTCTATTTCGAATGCAAAATTGGACTTGTACCCAATTGTTTACTTTTTTGAACACTAGAAATTATAAATTTGGTTGGTGTTGATTTTCAAATATTATTTTATAAAAATAAATTAATTACTTATTTTTTTTATTTGTGTATTCAAGCTTAAACAAATACTACTTAACAAATACATTACAAAAACTCAATGTGCATTGACATTATTAAATAATGTACTTGTTTTCTAATGATTTTGAATTCATATACAAATAAAATCTCCACAGTTTTGTTTGTTTGACAGTTTATTTTATTTCTTCTCTTATTTCTTTTCTTTTTTTCAGTATTTAAATTGGCTTTAAAGACCATGAAAACATTTTTGTATAGATTGCTTGTATAGACTTTTTTTTTTCTTTTTTTTCTTTTTTGTCAGGTTTCCAAGTAAGTTGCATAATTTAAAATTCAAATTTATTGTATAAGCTTCTTAAACAGTCTTCTGCAAGTTTGCACATACTTTCTTAAAAAAAAATAATAATAATAATAACCACAATGAAACTTCTTGCTCAAAACAATCCGATTGTTGATTTTGCAAATTTAAGAAAACTTGTGGCAGACGTTGTTTAGCCATTAAAGGTTGTTTTACAAGTGGCAGGGATATTAGTGTAATTTTATTTCATTCAAATTTCTAAAATGTTGTTAAACACAAATTATATGTTTGATGTTTTTTTAACTAAAAAAAGTTAAAATGATATCTCTCATTAAAAATAAATAAAAATAAATAAAATAAAATCTATGGCTTTATTTAATTGTAAAATTAACACTAAAATTCAAAATGAATATATATGTATCACTGCTTGAATTCTGATATATATATTTTTTATTTTTTATTTTTTATTTATTTTTCCTTCTTCTTATGAACCTATCATAATAATTCAAGTCGTATGCTATCACTACAATAAATGTTTAATTCATATGTTTTTCAACAATACAAAAATATGAAATTAAAATTTTCTGTGTAGGAATTGTAGATTCCAGGTGCAGAATACAATTTATTTATCATATTTGATGCTGTTGTTTAGTCTGTGATTTGTATGTGTGCCTTCCAAACTACAGTTTTCTCAACCTTTTATCTTTATTTTGTTCATTTTAGATTCTGATTCTTGTTTGTGGGTTTTCAAGTATAGTTAGTGTTATAAATAAGTGAAAGTACATCACATTGTTGTAAAGCATTTCACAATTACAACTACTTTATGAAAATTTTGTAAGATTCAGGTGTATGTGATTGAATACCCAAAAATTATAGTACACTTTTTAGGTTTGCCATAGTAAAAAAATTCAAATTAATGATAATGAAAAAAAATAAAAATAAAAATAAACACATACACACACATTTGGAATAAAATCAATGCACTAATGAGAATTCTCAAACCTAGCATTAAGTTCAAAATTCTGTTTTTATTTTTTTTAAAGTTTTTATTAATAATGATATTTGAAAGAAAAAGATTTAAATTTTTATACAATTACATCATTTTGATTTTGTTCAAGTTATGACACTCACATCTCAATTATATATATATATATATATATATATATATATATATTATTCATTTGAAAAAAAGAAAAAAACTCTTGTAATTGTTTCAAACTAAGAGCTTCTGTGCCATTTATTTGATATTTGATGAATGCATCTTCACAAAAATAAAATAATAAAAACCCCAAATACCCCTTTTTGCAAGGATCATATTTACAGCGTGAACCATGAAAAAATAGAATACATATTTCAGGTGGAATAATGAAATATTTCCACTTAAAGAATGTCAAACCCAGTTTAAAATTAAAAATTATTAGACTATAGTAAAAAATAACATTTATAAAAAATTATTAAACCCACTAATTCCAACTCAAAATAATCACAAGACACACCCAAAATTTGTGATGTAACGTCAAATTCAACAACAAATGCAACGTGAAGAATGAAACCAATGTCAGACTCATCCACGAAGAATTTATTCATCCTTCCATAACGTGGATGATTCCATCATCCGAACGAACCCCCCAAGACCAAAAATCTATCCCCAATGCCACGTCATGTGACCCCATCATCGCGGAATGCAAAGGGCGTAGGGGTGGGGCGTGCCACCCGGCCCGTCATCCAGCCCGGGACCCGTGCCCCCTGAGCATCGAACCCAACGGAGGGCGACACAGTCTAGAGAGAGCGAGAGAGCATCTGCTCAATTGTGCACAAGTTTCCAGCTCCAATTCGGCCTCACACGAGATTATTGTATGTAATGGAAACGAAAAACGAACGTTTACATATGTTTCTGAACTCTCGTCGGAGGAGAATGTGAGGAATTGCTCTTGAAAGTTCGAGCTTTGAGTTACTTGTGTGTGTGAGTGTTTTGCTGTGCTTCTCGAGCTCTTGGCCATGTACAGAAGCGATTGTGACGATCCTTGCTGGTTTTGTGGAAGTGGTAATTCAATACAGGGGTTGTAATCGTTGGTTTGAAGCCAGTTGGTCATGTGGGTTTGTGGCGTCCAGGTACATTTTTCTGTCTCTGTCGCCGATTGCGCATATTCTGTTCAGCGCATTCTTGCTGCGCGCGTGATGGGTTTACTTTTAAGATTTGATCTTGTGGGCTGCGAGTAGTCATTAATCTGGGGACGTGGTAATTAGTGATCTGGACATTTTTGTTACAATCAGCTCTGCGCAGAGTGAATATCTGGTTTGAGGATTTGGTACGGGTGAGATGAAGTTAGTTGTGTTGCCAAGTTCTCTCGATGCCGGCCTTCAAGCGTAATTTGCGATTGTAATGAAACGTTGCTTAAGTTTAGTTATCGATTGATGTCCAATTGTGTGCCGTACCAAGCGAGAGAGTGTTACAGAAGGAACCAGAATCTTAAGGTTGCTTTCTTAGTAGGGGGGAGATTTGCAGTGGGGTTGCAGCATGAAAAGGACTGAAATTCTTATAGGGTATACTTGGGTCCTAGAATTTGTGGTTGTGAATTTCATGCATGATTTGATTAAAGGTTATAAGGGTCGAAGTTTCTCCCGTATGGTGAATGACTGATATGCTTTGGATACAGACATTCATAAAGGAGCGGGTGTCACGAAGGGAATCACCATGAAGGCCTTACTATTTTCGGTTGTTCTGCTTGTAGCTGTCCTAAGCTGTAGCGGCCAGAGGGTAAGGAAGAACAGACAGACCCTTGGTTTCTATTTGGTGCTTGAGGTTATGAATTCCCTTATTGCATATTAGAATGCAGTACCCGCAATCTTACCAGGCCGCCTGCTCTCATCCTACTTCGTATCATTTCAATGTAGGATTGGGCATTCTTTAGTAAATTCATATTTAAAGTTCTTTTATGCCTTCTGATCGCTTGTTTCCTCCGACATGACATGTGCTTACAGGTAGCAGATATCACGTGTGGTGTGGACGGGAGTTTGGGCAGCGATTTTCAAGAGTGGGAAGGGGAATTCTTCCCTAACATTTCGTACATCAAATATGAGGTATTTCAATTCACAGTTCTAGTGGAATTCTCATCAAGGGTCGCATTAGACTTCCTTTGTGGTCTTTCGGTGTCTTCACATCGAAGCTCTCGCTTAACATGTAAAGTAAGTCATTGCATCAGAGAATAGTTGAAGGTGACTGAAGACTTAATGATGTTTCTGTATGTACAGGGGCCTGCAAGTCATAATCCTTTGGCTTATAAATACTATAATGCTGAGGAACTGATTTTTGGCAAGAAGATGAAGGTGAGGTTTTGCTTACAGTGAAAGTGGATTTTTTTGTGTAAATAGTGTAATGATCTGATCGAAATAACTTATCATTGTCTTGAATTTTGAGTCTTTCACGAACCTAAGAAATGCGTGAAAGCCATGATCACATTTACCACGTAACGCATCGTTTAGACCGTCATTTTCTGCCATGTTTTGCCTTGAGTTTGCTTTTAATCCATCCTGCCTTAGTGAAAACGATTATTCTGTGTCCTTGGATTGCTACGTGGAGAACCAATTTGATCATATTTCAATTTCTCTTCATTTTTGCTTTGAGTTTGCAGGATTGGCTGCGCTTCAGTGTTGCATTCTGGCATACTTTTCGTGGAGATGGTGGGGATCCCTTTGGATCTCCCACCAAGAGATGGCCTTGGGATGACGGCAGTAATTCGCTGACCGTTGCCGTAAGAAGAAGTAAGTGCAGTTGCTCCCACTCACCCGTGCAGTTTACATTGCAACTATTGTGATGCGTGGTTTTCTTTAACCAGCACTTGTCATGGAGGCCTCAGTTCACGTACGGATTCACGGTGAATAAATTGTTTGCATGGTTTGCAGTCGTATGAGTTCTCTATAACGTATTTTTGATAATCTGATGCTTCTGGCTCAGTGAGAGCAAATTTCGAGTTTTTGAAAAAGCTTGGAGTTGAGAAGTGGTGCTTTCATGATCGCGATATCGCGCCTGAGGGGTCTACACTTGAGGTTGAGAACCTAAATGCGTGATGTTTCAAATTAATATTTTGCTCGTGTTTGCTGCTCAAGAACGCAACTAGATCAGGATTGAGGGATCGAACATTTCAACGATGCCTGTTCTGCCCTGCAATTAACTGCTGGAACACAGTACTAATATTATTTTACTTCATTTTTTTGTCTCGCAGGAGTCCAACGCAAATCTTGATTACATTGTTTCAGTTGCAAAAAAGCTACAGGTATTAATTAATTAATTAGTGATGCTTGATTGGCGGTGATACAGCTCTTCTAAGGTTCATTTAGTGATTCATTTAGTGATTCAGTTAGTGATTCATTGAGGATGAACTAGGACTAAGAAAATTCTGTTATACAGGAGGGAACAAACATTCGACCACTTTGGGGAACTGCCCAGCTTTTCAAGCACCCACGTTACATGCATGGAGCTGCTACAAGGTCTCAACAATCTCCTACTGGCGTATTACCTCAATCGTCAATTCATTTTATTACCCATTAATAAATCCCTTTTAATTAAATTCGATCATGAACTTTATGATAAGTAATTTATGCATTTTCGTTTCATGACATGAGATTCACAGTATTTGTTGTGATATTTTCTATGCTGTTTCTTGCAGTCCGGACGTCCGTGTTTATGCATATGCAGCTGCTCAGGTCAAGAAGGCGATAGAGGTCAACCTCATCTTCTTCCTCATCGTCTTTCCTATAATAGCCCCTGCAACTAAGACACTTGGTTATTGCGCTGTGCTTGCGACTGCACTGACAGACATAGATATCTACCATTTTTTCGACTTTGATTTTCTATGAATCCAGAACGCGTGGCTTGGGTTTACGAACTGTATTGAAACAGCGATGAGATAAATCTGAAGTGTTGTGAAAACTACTTGCAGGTGACGAAACTGCTAGGAGGAGAAAACTACGTCTTTTGGGGCGGGCGCGAAGGTTATCAGACCCTTCTGAACACAGATTTGAAGAAGGAGCTTGATCACATGGTCTGGCCTCTTTTTCTTGCAATAAAAACGGATGCTATGTCTTACGGTCACTATGTCAGCTTAAGATTAGTTTCAATACTTCTCGTTGAACTTTCTGCTTTCATAATGTAGGACCGTACCTGTAAAGTTTCATGCTTCGCCGATTACCTAGATACTCTTTATTCTGTTCTGTTTCACTTCAAGTAGTCATTTCAAGGTGCCTTTTTGAAGACTTTGGAACTAATCTTGTTAAATTTAGAACTGTTAGTTGCTGATTGTTACCACAACTTAACTACTTTTTTTAAGAGCTCTTGTAATCATGGCGAATATGGATATGCTTACTGTACTGGTAGGAGGATCTTATATGTATCTATACTCGTATGTGCATATATGGGTAATATTCTCACTAGAAAGGTTTTTTTGTATTGTATGTTTAGGCCACTTTCTTGCGCTCAGCTGCAGAGTATAAGAAAAAAATCGGTTTTGAAGGTACGTAAAAACCCAGTTTGATTTGATATTGTTTTGGAGTCTGGTTGTGTTTTTTTTTTTTTTGACAATTAATGCAAGATAAGAAAAGCCTATTTAATTAACCTTGCTTTAATTTGCAGGAACTTTGCTATTGGAGCCGAAGCCACAGGAGCCAACAAAGCACCAGTGAGTAGCTTTGAATGACACTCATCTTATCTCAAGGAATGGCTCAGTCTGTTGCCCTGTTTAATGTGATTGGAATTGGTTTTCAAGTATTTGCCTTTCTACGCCTTTTTAGAGGACGACGAAGGCAATTCATGTATTTGACTGATATGTGAACCCCTTGGACAAGCTAATCTATCATGTCGAAATCTTTTCAGGTACGATTGGGATGCGGCAACTACTATGGGGTTTTTGAAGAATTACGGACTCTCAGGCACGAACAGTACTTTGTCTTCTATCTATGTATCTATCTATCCATATATATACACATACACACACACATTTGTCACATGTAATGTACAAATGACTAGATTTGGAGAGAGTGTGTGTGTGCGCGCGCGTGTGTACGACTATAAATCTTCTCCTCTTGAGAAAACAGCTTCAGAAGATTTAGAATTTAGAATTTCGAAGTGAAAATCAGAGCAGACACGAATAAGTTGAAGCAATGGTTTTGCTGTAGTCAAATTGAGAGGTATTCATAGGAATGGTTATACATTTTGTGGGTTCTTGCAGATGACTACAAGCTGAACCTAGAGTGCAATCATGCTACCCTGTCTGGGCATAGGTATTTGTCGACACGAGGTTCTAAATGTTGTTTGTTTTTTTCTGGCTTATTTCTTATGCCGCCTTAGTTGGCTGGTTGGTATTTATGTACGTTTTATAGCTACTGAAGACGATTCTAGGCGTAAACAGAGCAATACACGGTTCAATAGTAGCTGCTCTACTTTTCACATGTTCCATTTCAAATCTGTTGTGTTTTTTATTTTTGTGTTGATGTTTTGCAGCTGCCACCACGAGCTAGAAACTGCACGTATATATGGAATGTTGGGTAGTGTTGATGCCAACACAGGCGATGCTCAAACTGGTTTGTTCATGAATCTCTCATGCTTGGAGTTTCGTATTCCAAAGCTGTTGTTATTACTTGTTAGTTTCTGGGTTTCCTCGATTCGCACCGGAGTGTTTACTAATATCGACACATTGTTGTGCAGGATGGGACACTGATCAGTTTCTCACCGATGTCAGTGAGGCAACTCTGATCATGCTCTCTGTGATAAAGAATGTGAGGGACCAAAATATAGCTCCTCAACTGCTTATTGGAGACTCATTGAAGTCTGTAATGCAGTGTCAAAATCTCGTCGATCCATGCTTGTGTTGGTGTAGATGTTATTGTACTCATCTATAATGAAGAAGTAATCATAATGTATGCATTGAAGAACGACTTCAACGGATATCCAACACTATGATCGTGGCCGTGGATTCACTAACTCGGAAAAAATGAATCTGTACTGTTCAGGGAGGACTGGCACCTGGAGGGTTCAATTTTGACGCAAAACTGTGAGTTTTCCCAAACCTTCATAGATCGTCTGACATGCGATTCTAGAATGTCATCATGAGTACCCAGCATTAAGGATGTGATTCTCACTGATGTACGTACCTCGCTTCTGTTTTTTGTAGTTCTCTCTCTTATTTGTTTACAAAATGCAGGAGGAGGGAGAGTGTGGATGTGGAAGATCTCTTCATTGCCCACATCTCAGGCATGGATACCATTGCCCGAGGACTTCGTAATGCTGCCAAACTTTTGGAGGTAATCAATCTAGTAAATCAAGGAACTGAATGTCTCTAGCACGGCACTCAAGGCTGTTTAACATGTAGGTTCTGTGTGTCACTTAACAAATTTTATGTTGTAGATTCTTCAACAAATGATCGGATTCGATGCTTTTTCATTAATTTATTTGTGTTTCAATGTCCAGGAGGGTCGGCTCACAAAGCTTGTCGAGGATCGATATTCAAGCTTTAACTCCCCGCTTGGGAAAACTATTGAGGTAAACTCTACTACTTGCTGTGGAAGTTATAGCAGTTCGCCAGGGTTATGTGCGAACTTTGTTTATTGTCGGAGTAATCAATGATATTAGAAGGGACAAGATCATTCTAAATTAAGTTGTCCGATATAAATATCCATTTGTCGCTTCTGCAGGAGGGAAAAGTCGGGTTCGAGGAATTGGAAAAAATTTCTCTTGAAGCAGAAGAGCCTCCTATTACTTCTGGCAAACAGGTATAAAAGTTATTCATTTTATAGTTTTTGTATACCTTCCAACTTGCAAACTTTCAGCACACCAAGTTGTAATTTTTGGGTGTTGCGTGATGAACTAATATCTCACTTTTTCTTTTTTTAAATATTTGCAGGAGTTGGCGGAGATGATATTTTACTCTTACGTCTAAAGTTGGGGCTATGGTGGTCTGGAAGTGCTGATGATAGTTACCTTCCAGTTTTGTGTAGAGTGATCCAATTTTGCAGTTTCTTGGGTTCACTTGAAAAGCTTTTTGAAGCTCTTGGATAAGTAGTGTCCTCTCGGACTTGTCCGTTGAATCCGCCGCACCATGTACAGTTGGGTTGTCTAGAAATAATCACTTCCACGTTGTAGTAAGGGATGCAAATTTCTTGACTCGCCGCATCGTTACTTTCTTTTCACAAATGTATTGCGTGCGCTGCACCACTTCCCATTCGTTTTTTTTTTTTTTTTTTTTTTTTTTTAATACTTTTCTAGTATTTTGTAGATGAATGTTAGGAGTTATCAAGATCTGATATATCTCAAACCATGACATTGCTTGGAAAACATATTTCTTTTTATGCTCTAACAAACCATGATGATTCACAATGTTTCCTCCAAATTGTCCACCTCTGTTCTCAGCTTGACTATCCAATTACAAGCTCTTTCATGTCTATTCTTTTAAAATATACTGCTATCAATATGCTAAACTACACACAACAAAATGACACTTGAATAACATAATATACAATCTTTAATTTGCTAAACTAGTAGTAAACCTTTCATACATCATCTTTAAAACATGCATAATAATATTTTCTAATAAATTTATTTGAACTTATAGTAGTATGACTAATTTTAGTTTAAAGTTATAGTGTCAATTTAAAAGTATTATTGGTGTAATTAGAAGTTAAAATAAGAACCAATTAAAAATTGTCCCAAATTCACGTCAACCACAATTCAATCTTATATAAAAGTTAAAACTTAATATATGCTAAAAAGAGGAAAATATTGTAATTTTTTTTTTTTAAACAAAACCAAACATAATTTTCTTCTCTTACAGCAAGAGACATTAGACCATAAGAATGTAACAAAAGATTTTTACTAAAGAATTAAGAAGTAATACAAAATACACTTGTGATTAGAGAATAAAACTTGCTCATAGACGAGGAAGAATTTAATTTAATTTAATTTAAATTTTTGTCTCCCTTCTTTCTTTCTTTCTTTTTTTCCTTTTTCTTCTTCTTCTTTTTTTTTTTTTTTCTTTTTTTTTTTGTACCTTTCGACCCTACCAAAGAGGCATTGGTATCATTTACACATCACAGCAAAAGAATCACCAAAAAAAATGTATAACATACCAATCCAAAAAAAATCTAATAAGATAGATCAACTTATCTTTGATGCTTTGAGGTTGTTGTCTTAGAAAACCGTTTTGCATTAATTACCAAAAAAAATATGGTTTTATCAAAGTACATTACAAAAAGTTGCTCATTAATATAAAAAGTGAAGCAAATAATTTATATTGGTTTTTAAATAGTATATATATATATATATATATATATATATGTATATATGTGTGTGTGTGTGTGTGTGTGTGTCATATTTTCAAAAAAATCTTCAACATTAGTAATGAGTAGTATATTATGTATAAAAGTATTTGAGAATTTTATCAAAATTTGATTAGTAAATATAAACATAATTAATATCCAAGTTTTGATGTTCAAAATACTGACCATATAATCTATCTATTACATAGTAGTTGTTTTTATTTTTCTACATCAATTTTAATAAATAAATAAAAATTATATACAATTTCTTGTATAAATTTAAATGTTCAAATTTTTTAAATGTAGAATGTTTAACCACTTGACCAAAACTTATATAAATCTTGTGAGCTTTACAAAATAAAACTGAGGAAGACACAAAACATAATATGCATGTATTAAGACTATCTTACATTATTAATGGCAAAACATTCAAATACATTTCCATTTTGTTAAACCTGGTCGCATGAAGAAGTGATAGAAAGTTTAACAAAATGGAAATGCATCAACCTATTTGAACAATTTCTTTTGTTAATATGAGCATTAGTTCATTGCAGTATTTTCTTCGCTTACAAACAATCATCAACTTTCAAGGACTAAGTCAAGTTTGTAAAGATATAGATATATATATATATATAGAGAGAGAGAGAGAGAGATAGATAGATGGAGAACACTACAGTCAAGACAGAGTGCACTAATCCAACACTGAAAAACACAAAAGCCGCCTGTACATCCATCAAATGCCAATGAGGCTCGAAGAGTCCCTTCAACCTAGCAGGTTCGAGGAGTTGACGCTTTGTATGCATAGAAACGTGCAATGAATATTACTGTTAACTTGCATTCATGTAATCTGTAGTGTATCTCTACAGGTTACAAGTGCACAGTTTCAAAATTCTGGGCCCCACAGTCTTTCCCACGAGAAAATCGTAAACAGACGAACATTTTTAGACCAGTCAGCAGCATGTGCATAATGCTTCATAGATGATGTCATACATGACCAAACTAAATAAACACATAGTTAAATGCTTTGTATGATCATAATTCAGTTTTTTTTCGTAAAAGAAACGCAGTTTACAATTGTCTGGAAACAGCACAGCAATCAAAACCTTGCTCACGAACGATTGAGTGAGACAAGCCAAGCCGTAACGCCTCATTTTGCACCAACGCCCTCTCTTCTTCACCATCTAGAAGAGGAGACAGAATCAGAAGAACTTCCTTCTCTAGCTTTCTAATTGTTATATCACCTTTCCAACTTAGAGATGCTGATAGTACTGTCTCTAAATCAGATTGTGCAAATTCTTCTAAAATAACGCGTAGAGCAGATATCCAAATAGGCTGAGCAGTTGTCAAAAATTGGAGCATCGTTCCAGCTGGGAGTGCAATGCCTCCAACGTCAGTCTCTTCCACTGCACCAGATGCATGATAATCAGATCCGCCCACCTTCAGAAGGTTGCCAGCGCAGGTTACCCATGCTGTAAAACGTACCCACCACCACCACCACCACAAAACTTCAGACAAGCCTCCAACAAAATTTTCCGGAGTTCAGAAATTACAATCCAGGGGCAACTAGAGACTCTCTTAATTCTCATGAGTCGACTTTATGACCAGGAACTAATTCATGAAGATAAGCAGACTTGTGGCTACGTTGAAGTATCATACCAGGGTCTTTTCCACCACTTCTGTACACCTCCATACCATCCAGACCTGCGTCTTTCAGTCGGTCTATGAGCGGGCTAGGGTTTTTCAACGACCATGGATGTGCAAGAACTGCAATGCCGCCTGTTCGATGAATCAACCGCACTACCTCCTCGGCAGGCTGCTCAGCACCTCTGCAAATTCATTGAGAAGAAAATATGAAAGTGATGCTGAGAAGCATCAAAACGATCACCCCCAGCGGCAATAACATCACAGCAGCTTCCGTGTGCTGCTTGACATAGACTGAATAGAAAGTTTGAAATCACAGTAGCTGGATAAAGAACGTACGCAACATAAGCAGGACCAGAATCACGAAGAAAACGGGTAAAAGCCTCTCCAATAGTATCAACGTGACCAGCTTCTAATAATGCTCGGGCCACATGTGGCCGACAAGGAGCCACGCCATCTCCTGCTATGTCGAGGACACTCTCCCATTTCACAGGCTTATTCAGGGCTTTTAGTTTCTGCACCATTCGCTTCGCACGAGTGTACCGCCCTTCACGAATTTTGTTCAAGCATGCTTCTAGTTCCTCGGGATGGGCTGGACCACAACAGCTAAAGTAAGCCAAAATATGAACATTTTCCTCCTCTCCCCGTTGTAGTTGTGAACTGCATAGACAGGAAAATATCACGACAATATCTACTGAAGTGCTTTCACAATCACTCCGCAAGCGTGCACGAACAAACGATTGACATCGACTGTGAACACCACGTTCCACATAGAGTACACTTCCATAAAAAAACAAATCGACAAATCTTTTTTCTTTCTTTTCTATGTCTCTCTTCTTTACAATCTTAAATAGATAGCTACAGCATACAGGAACTTGCGAATGCAGGATACATATACATCTGAAATCAGAGGAGGGTAGCAGAAGGAGTACGTTGATGCAAATTTGGCACTAATCTCAACGCCCGGAATGAGCCTCATCCCAAGGTCACGTGCAACTTTCAAAGCAACTGGAACACCCTCCATAGTATCGTGGTCTGTGAGCGCCAAGACGTTGACCTACATTCATGCCCTTATCAATACCTAAGAGACAATCACCGTTTCCATACCACAAATTCTGAACCATTGTGGTCCCAAAGAAATTCTAAAAACACTGTCAGCAAGCCAAACGCATCCTGAATACTCTAAATGAACACAGGATTCACGCCACCAACGCACTATTTCATAATTTCACATTGCGGTGTAAAAACATACATGAAAATACTGAAGGATTCATACCCCATTCCGGTGAGCACGTAACACCAAGTCAGTTGGTGACAACCTGCCATCACCTGCAAAGCACACTCGATTTGCTTGAATTAAGGATCCTTTGCGACAGAAGATGCTGTAAACGTATTCTAGTCCTGGCTAAACCTTTACGCTGATCATCAGTCTTTCTAATTATACCAGATTTAAGAAAGAACCAGTTAATAAAATAACATACTCAGATTTGCGATTTGGGATTTAAATGCACATCAGAAGGTTACTTGCCTTCAACTATTTACCCAGAAACGACCTCAAATTCTGTCCGTAAGGAAACTTCCAACAATGTAGAGCTAAGCCCCCAAGAATTATGGATGGTGCCAATTAGGTATTAAATGATAAAGACTAAATGGCTGCCCTGTCATCACCCTCGACGATAATTTTCATCTTTCAACACAGTAGACACTCCGAATTTGTCACATAGAATCCTTCTGGCGACGGGCATTACACATGAAATCTAGTCAAAATAATGTTAAAAGCAACAATGTTCACCTTTTTTTCTCTACGAACCCAACAAGGAAGCATTCAGAACGGTGCAAGCTGCTAGAGAGTCAGCACGTGGTGGGATCGTAACATTATTCCGCAAACCTAAAAAAAAACAACAGGACTTACTGCAGGTGCTGTGCGTGTGAAGGTCCATTTTGGGGAGCGAGAGGTTCAAACAGGGCATCTTCGGCGACGCCCATTTGGAAAGCGTGAGGACTGCGGCAGCAAGGCGAACTGGGTCTTTCGACAAGGGCTTCGCTTTCTTTTTTTTCTTACCACTGCTACCGCTACCCCCTCGTGAGCTCCCTCCCGCCATACCCTAATCTCTAACAGCTCAAAACATCTGAAAAAACAAAAATAAAAATAGAACACAAATCACATACCCTCGTACCCAGAAACTGAGATCAGAATCCAGCTCCTTCGCAATCTTGTCATGTCCCAGCAGCTCACGGAGTGCAAGAGTAATGGCTGCATGACGAGGTGGGCTCTCTGGTTTGCAAGGGAAGTAATCGTAGATCCTTACGGGATGTCACAATCTGTACTCAGGGCTCTTCAATTGCTTCGGTCAATGTCTTATTGAAGAAAAACACAACAAAACCAAACAACTCTGACAAAACCAAGGAAGAAAGGACGTAATGGAACGAACGAACGACGATAGAACGAACTAAAGAAAGTCTAACTATCGGCCTAACTATCGGCCAAACTTATACAAGAAACTTATCTAATGAATGAGTTGGTTGGAAGTAACGAATCCAAGAGCAGCTATGGAGTTGTTGAATTAGATTCCAAAGGTAGATCCAAAAAACTATAAAATGCTGAGAAATGCACCTTTGTTATTTCTTTGCTATGACAAAGAAGCATCTAAATTGGACTTGTCCACCCATTTTCGTGTACATAGATGGAAAAAAATTATGAAAAAAAATAACTTAAGATGTTAATTGCCCCTCTTAAATTATCTTAATTGAAATTGCCTAATATTAAGTGTTTTATTTTTTTAGACTAAAAACTATGTTCTTTTGCAAATTTCTACATGATTTTTATTTATTTTTTACATGATTTTTTAATTTCTACATGATTTTTTTTTAAATTGACAATCTAAGCTATTATCATAGACATACATATTTACTTCTATAGTTACCTAGATAATATGAATAAGTAGAAATAAGTAAAAATAGATTAATTTGATAATATCTTGTAGAGAAGCTTCTTAAAATCTTCATAGATGCAATTTCACCTTTATACATGTTTGTAAGTGATTGGTAGAATGAACACTTGGTCAACAAGTTAGCAATGTGTCACAAGTATTGATAGCTTGTAGCACAAGCTAATTATATAGTACATATATAGGAAACTTGTCTTGTAAGTCAAGACATGTGTTTTACAAATTGAACATGTATTGGAGGTCCTACATAATGTTGCCACATAGCTCTTGATTAGATATTATATATAAAAGCAAGAGTAAAACCTTCTTCACTCTTGTCAATTCTTTTTTTGCTTCTAGTCTAATTTCAAAGGTTTCTAGTTTTTTTTGTCTTTTGGAAATAGGTATTTTAGTTTCTTTTGAATATATATATATATATATATATATAGACTATTTTATTTCCATTTTTTCATCTTTCTATGATACATATCTTAGTTGTTTACATATCTTTTTTGAATTCTTGTCCTTGACAGCTATTAAGATCTAAATTAACAGAAGTAAAAAAAAAAAAAAAAAAAAAAAAAAAAAAAAAATTATCATATAATTGCATTATATTGTGGTTATATTATGTAATAAGTAGCAATCCACACAATATTATAGCCAAGGCATTCTTCCATTGCATTAGTGGGCTAACACCGAAGTTGCTATAAAATATCTTAATTGTACTTGACTACTAAAAGAATTTATTCTAACTTTAGTTGTACATTGACACCAAAGTAATTGACACCAAAGTAATTTATTGTATATTTCTTTACAAACCACGATCAAGGTAGGGCATTAATGCCTTTCTTACAATTTGCAATTAAAGTATTTTATTGTGTCTTTGATCATAAATTATAATTAAGATAGTTTATTAACACTATGGTCCTAATCCACAATCTAAATATTTTATTGTGACTTTGGATATTAATAGCTAAGCAACTTTGTAGGATTGAAATTGGATCTTCTCTACCTTCTCTAACTTGGCTTTTCAACTAATCCTATAATAAATTTGTTAGTTGATTTAAATAAAATTGGAGCAAATTGGTTGGAAAGTCCCATAGATATTAAATATATTAATTAAGTTAATTAGATGGATAAAATATAATTGCCTAATTTAGTTTATATATATATATAGTTTTTTAACCATTATTCTTTTTTATTTTAAAGTTTTTAAAATGTTGATTAATTATATTTATACTATTTTTAGAAATAAAAAAATACAAAGATGAAAAGAAGGAAGAAGAGAAATATAAAATTATAAAATAAGAGAAATCTAACTAGAATATTTATGTTATTTGGAGCTCTTTTTTGTTTTATCTTTTGTCTTATGTATTATACATATTTTATTGTAGATCATTACAATGGTCTTTTTACAATAAAATTACTAATTTAAAGCAAAGCTTATCTAAACAATGTAGTAATTATTTATAATTGTTTTATACATCGGTTAAAATAGATTGTTTATTGTTTGATATAAATAATGCAATGAATCAAATTTAAGTCCATAATATCAATGTAACAAGTCATTTGACATTGCAATACTTACCAATTTGGTATATTGAATCATGGATTTATTATATTAAATCAAATTTAAATATAAATAAATATAGTCTACAACTTTTGTTGGTCATAATACCTAATAACAAAACCGTGTTCATTACAACTTTGTCAATTGGAATAGATTTTCATCACATAGTATAAATATAGTTCTTACATGGATATTTTTGATAACTTTGTTATATTACTATGCATCACAAATTGATGAAAGGTAATACACACATCTTTGCAATTTAGAATATAATTAATATATTTTTCCAATGCCTTTTAATTAGTAGTTACTTTGTATTTACTATTGTAGAACATGTTAATTCAATGTCTACTTCATAAATAATACATTTAAATTTTAATTATTATATAAATAAATTTTAAAATTGATTATAGATTTAAATTAATTAAATTAAACTTATTTGAATTATAGATTATTAAACAAAAAAAATTACCTCCTTGTAAGAAATGCTAATATAAAGTAGTGATAGAAAACATATAAATAAACTTAATATACAATTTTACATATTTTTATAATAACTCAAAGAACAAAAATTACATACTTCTTATGCATACATCAACACCTTGTACATGATCCAATTAAAGATTTGTACATATATATATATATATATATATATATTTTTAATATATGTGTTTTTATACAAAGATATATAAATTAAAAAAGAATCTTCAATTTTTTTAAAAAGATGCTTAAATATTAATTTATTATTAATTACTAAATTTAAAAATAAATAATCTTTTAAAATCTGATTTACTAGTTGATCAGATATTAATCTAATAAAAATTTTAAATTACATATATAAAATGATTTATATTTAAATATTTGAACTTAAATTTCATAAGACATAATATTCACATATTATAAAATGTTATACATATTATGCATATTATATTTATAGTCTAATAAAAATAAATATCAAATATATTATATTATAAAAATAGTACATAAATATAAATTTAGTAAAGTAATCCAAAATTTTACTAAATTAAGCCACATGTTTAAATCATCATTGTATCCTTTCAACCCCATCCCTGCTCCTACCCATTCCCCTATTTCCAACCATCACTCCTATTTCCAACATTTCCAACCCTCCACCGTCGTCCTTAACAATGGTTGGGAATGGGGAATGGCTAGGAACAGGGATAGGGGTTGTAAGTGTGCAATAATGGTTGAGATAGAGTGAGTCGTTTTAGTAAAAAATTGGGTTGCTTTACCATTCCCCTAAATATATTACATATATTATCATTCCCCTAAATATATTACATATATTATCATTCCCCTAAATATATTACATATATTATCATTCCCCTAAATATATTACATATATTATCATTCCCCTAAATATATTACATATATTATCATTCCCCTAAATATATTACATATATTATCATTCCCCTAAATATATTACATATATTATCATTCCCCTAAATTTATTATATATAGAGTACCAAAATCAGAAAATTATTATTTTTTAAAATGAAATAATATTAATTTTATACTTTATTATATACAACAAACAATAAACATATATACATACATTATTAACCGAACCTATACTGGGCCGCCTTGTGGTCACTTCCAGGGCCTGGAGCGCGGGGTAGGCGAGGCAGGGTCCAGGATCGATGAATAAAATAAATCATTCATCTATAGATGAAAAGATACGACACTGATACCCATCGTTCAAATCTCTGATACCGGGGTCTCCAGGACCCGGGTATAAATTTCAAATTGCAAAGCGTGATGTGCTTCGTGACCGTTAGGATTTCGCAGAGTCGAGTCGAGTGTCGCAATTGCTCTTGGTTCTCGAGCTCCGCCATATCTTGTTGTGCTCGAGACCCTTTCTCTGGATTGCTTGGAGTGTGGGAGCATCGCGAGGCTTGTAAGTCTGTCTTCGTATGACTTACCACTTTCTTGCCTTGCTGCAATCGGTTGTTGCGTTTGACCTCGAACATGGGCTCTCCTCAAACTTCCAAAGTTGACCGTTGTGGCCTGGCGGAAGGGGTTCAAACTCCATCTCGGTGAGGCAGGATAGCTTAGTCGTTTCTCGTCAATTTCGAGCTTAGCTTTCACAGCTGTTTTTTCTTCCGTTAGATTATCTTATTGATTCGCAGCCCAGACTAGTCATGCCTTACGCTTCCAAACTGAAAGGCGCCTATGAAGAGGATGCGTTAGTCTGCGACGTGTCGCAAGCTGTCTAGATCGGTTTCTCCTGAGTTGTTTACCTTCGCTTCAAATTGTGCAACTACGCCGTTGAGAGTGTACGATTAGCCTCGTATATTCAATTTGCTACAGTATGATCTATTCGTGGGTTGTTTTGTACATCTGGCAATGCTGAACTTTCTCTTGGTTTAAACCTTCAATGTTAGGGGCTTACTCCTACTGGTTCAGCCTGCTGAATCTTAAGAGATCGTGATTCGCCATTGTTCTCACCTACTGATTCCGTGCTGCCGCATAAGCTGTGGCATACCTGGGGCCGTCGAAAGCAAAGAGAATTCTCAAAATGGAGGCTGTCTGCGGAAGCCCCTGTATGGTGCGACCTGACTCGGTGATTATACTTGAGGTAGACCTTATCTCACCATGATTTTGATCTGCTAGAGTCAGCCTTACATAATGTAATCTATTGTGACGTGAGAGCTGCGCAATTAACATGGAATGGATTCCAACGGGAAGATACTAAGCATCTCTTATTTGGAGGAGAAGGAGAAGGATGTCTGGAAAACAGCGTTGATGTTGTTATTTTTGAGCTAATGATATTTTGTGCTGGGTTCCATGGTGTAGCTGGATAGTTCTGAAGCTTGCCCCAAGCTGCCAACCACAGACAGGTTGGTGAGCATGATTCGTTTATCAGCAACAAAGCCTGGCCTTGGCACTGTACGTCTCACTCCCCAATCCTTTTGAGGTTCTCCTTTCCATTCTTTTTCTTCATTCTCAATCCTGAAATAGTGATTATGGGAAATTAATACCACGAGCACATGACGTAACAGCCTATGCGCGTTCCAGTGGATTCAAACGGACAAAGACTCTGCCCAACTCCTAAGAGCGCGCGGGCTTTGGACTTCGGAAGCTCTGGAATGAAGTGGCACACTAACCCCGCATTTCAACCCCTGGAGACTATGGAGGGTCCAACATGCCCACCCAACCAGGTTAATTGCCATGTCCGGTGCATTTCTTCATCATGGCTATTTACTTAAGATTTGCCAATTGTGCATTTGGTCTTTCTTCCCTTCATTTCATCCTATATAGTTCTCAATCTAAAAAAGACTTGCATTCGGTATGTTTAAGAAAATCATTGTCTGGAGGATACTAATCCAGCATGGTATCTCGTGCAGCCGCTCAATGTTGCAGCTGACTCAAGTGGGCAAACACCACAGACCACGTCACTCGTCAAATCGAGGACAAATTCTGATCATTGTGTATCGAGTTCTTCAGGGGGTCAGAAACTGCGCTTCCAGAAAGCTATTACTTTCCAACCCCTAGAAACCATCCAAAGTCCATTCATGCCAGAGGAGCAGGTTGGTTTCTGTCTCATTTGCAAACCTAATATTGAGCATCAACAAATCAGAATCTCATTCTGTCCATCTCTAATTTCTCTTTCCCTTATCTTCACTTCCACACATTCACTCACAAACACGCTGTGTTACTCACAGGTCTGCAAACGGGTTCTTGGAGATTCAAATGGTCAATGGACATTAGACACTCCCAAATTGTCCAACCGGTTCACTACTCCCAGAGCGAGAACAGCGGCTTTCGGAACTAATTGTTCTAAGAGCATGACACCGAGGAATTTGTTCAACGAAGCCCCTCATTCTACCAGTCGGATTGATTCTGTAAGATCGGCCAGAGATCCATTTCCTTCGAAGTTAAGTAAGGAGCCGTCTAATTCCTCAGCCATCGGAACGTCTGAGCGTGATCCAGAGGCGACCTCCACTTCAGCAGCTTCAACTTTTGGAGCTGATTCCAAACTCAAGAAAAGAGTTAGAGGCGAGGATGATACCGAAGAGGGCAAAGAGAATATCAGAGTCACGAGGTCAAAAGCTGAGGCAGGGAAGATTGCAGCAATTCTCAAGTCTCCCGCTGTGAGGATCCGTCTGTCGGATGGAACCAGGCAAGAGTATTACGGCGCACTTAGTAAATTATCTTTCAAGCCACTTGTATCTGCAGGGACTAAGACTGAAAGCTGTGCACCGGAAGTAGCGTGTGATACAAATACAACTATGCTGCCTATGCAACCGGAAAGAGGAAATCTGCTGCTGGGTGCAGGACGTTTACCAACGGTACAGGAGTCACCTGCACTTCGTGTTCGAGTGCATAGCCCTACAAGCCAACTGGGTAGCCTTCTCAGGAGCCCCCTGGTGAAATCATCCAAGAAGCAAATTTTCAGCGATAAAAAGACTCCTGCAGCTGCTCTTGGAGGTATCGGAAGGTCGTCGAGCAAGCCAGCTTCCGCTAAAAAGAACCTCTCCGTCTTGCTTGAGGCTGAACTGTCTTCAGCTTCAAATTTGTAGCTTGTGGTAATATGAGGGAGGTTTAACCTTGGGTTACTTTCTGCTTAACCCGCTTCACCTTCCTCTTGTTCTACGTTATGAATATATTTCTACGATTTTGCTAGTATACAGATACCATGTGGGCCGTTTTCATTAACCAATCTGGTTTAATTGCTAGAAACGGGGAACTCACTTTCAATACCTTGTACAGAAGCTTGAGATCAGTACAGCTTAGATTTTGCTCGACTAATTTTATTCCTGACTTCTCATGTTCAGTATGAAATTTCCTCAAATGAGTCATCCTCTCTCCGTCGAATCCTCTGTTTAATAGGTAAAATGCACACGGAACATGCTGAGCTGTACATACTGTGATTTAGGATAGTCAAGTGAGCAGTGTTTTTGTGTACAGGTCTACAGTTCCAAGGCTGAGTTGCAGACCACTACACCGAGTATTAATGGTGAGAGTGAACAGGTTGGTGAGAAGTAAACTAATTGGACAAGCAGTAAATAATGAACTGGACAAGAAACAGATTGAATTCGTAAGAAGATTGCATTACATCTCTTCATCCGCGCTTTGCACCCAGTTCTATCCTACACTTTATTCATTCTCGGTCTAGGTGTAAGCTCGGAGCTAACTGATGAGATCAATTTAACATGCTGAGATTCTGAATGTTGTCGTCCGGCTCCAACAAGTATCATACATGTGTAACTATTACTACCTCCCTGAAAACGTTTGTGTGTATTCAAAGGAGATGCCATTCATAAGCTGTGACCCTTTCTCATCAGTGCTGGCAATTTTTGAATCTCCTGAGTTGCAAGCTTCGTCAGTTTGAGCAATGTAGGACGGAGGAGCAGGCGCATCGTTAACGTCCAAGACACCCTCCAGCATCTTCTCAACGTCCCTCATGTTGGGTCGCTTCACAGGATCGTCCTGAGTGCACCATAGCCCCACATGCAACGCCCTCCGAAGCTCCTCTGCGTCCACGCTCCCTTTCGCCAGTCTGTCATCCACAAGGCTGGTCAAATCCCGACCCTTGGAAATCTCCTTGTACGCCCACACAGCGTAGAACCACTTGTCGGCGGGATAAGACAAGTCCACGGTGCGTCGCCCGCTGATGATCTCCAGAAGAGTCATGCCGTAGCTGTAGACATCCACCTTGGACGTTAGAGTGCAATTTGTGAGCCACTCTGGAGCCAAGTAACCCCGCGTCCCACGTATGTTGGTAATCAATCGGCTCACGTCCTTGCCCATGAGCTTGGCCAGGCCAAAATCCGCCACCTTAGGGGTGAAGTCCCCGCTCAGGAGGATATTCTCCGGCTTGACGTCGCAGTGGATGATGCTCGACCTGCACTCGTGGTGCAGATACGCAATGCCACGAGCAGCTCCAAGAGCGACGGCCATCCGCGTCCTCCAGTCCATGACATTGTTGACATCTTGAGGGCCGTCTCCTTTCCCAGCTACTCGTCTGAAGAGGTACTTCTCCAGTGAGCCATTAGGGATGTATTCGTACACTAAGGCACGGTGGTCACCCTCCGCGCAAAACCCTCGAAGCTGGACGAGGTTTATGTGCTGGACAGTCCCTGCATGAAGCAAAAAATCGCAAAATCATTCACACAATCGGACGAATTCTACCAAATCAGCTGGAGTTACGAGACGTGTTTCGCATTGTCTCACCGATGACAGCAACCTCAGCACGAAATTCTTGTTCTCCTTGCCGCAGCTTGTTTAGTGTCTTAACCGCTACCTCGCTCTTGTCCGGCAGCGTCCCCTGGAATACAGTTCCAAACCCACCACTGCCCAGCTGGTGGCCGAAGTTCCCTGTCGCATCCACGAGTTCCTTGTAGGTGAATCGCGCCAAGCCCACAACGCTGAAGGCCGCGGCGGCATCGGCCCTCCGCTTGGCATCCCGGCGTCTGATGCACAACCACCATAAGAGGCTGGCAGCCACAGCCACCACAACGCAGCATACAATCACCACCGTGATAATTAGCTTGGCCCCATTGAAGGAGGACCCGTTATTGTCACCTCTCTCGCGGTTGGGAGTTACCAGAAAGCGCAGCATGAATGGCGTGCCAGTGGAATCGTTGGAGGTGACGTTTGAGGATCGCGCGTTGAAGAAGACCGTGGATGTTGAGTGCAGTGTACAGTTGGTGGCTGTGCTAGTTCCGGGTGCAACCTCCGAGAAGGAGAAACTTCCGCAAGAGCAATTGCCCGCGCATCTTTCCCGACAGGCGGACTCGGTGTCGTTGAAGAAAAACTGGGGCGGGCTGGTCCGGTTAACTTCAATGGTGGCGCCTGCCAACGCCATGAAAGAGAAATCTGAGGTGGAGTTAGCGATGCTGGCGTTTGTGGTGCAAGATCCAAGCAGCGCAGGGTCGCGCCCACACCCTTGCAACCAATAATCCTGGTCGCTCCATTCCGCAGCACTGACGGGTCGAAAATCCGGCAGACAGGTGCAGCCCGGAATGTAATTGCTGCTGATGCAGAGAGAATTTTTCCCACAGACGTGGTACGAGTCGCACGGCTCGACAGGGGCGCTGATGAAGGTCTGCCAGGAGTTGGAGTCGATGACCCAGATGTGCTGGCGCGCCACGCCGTCCGGGTCGAGGCGCATCCGCTTGAGGGAGATGTCAGCAGTGGCCGATCTCCCAGAGGTATTGTAATAGAACCTCGGGCTCCCTGTGCTGTTGTCGAAGTGAAACACATCCGGTGACGTTGTTCTCCCCAGCTGCGGCGGGTTCGTGAAATAGGACCCCCCCCACGGCCCACTGTTGTAGTATGTCTCGGTCCCGTTCCACTTGAAATACAGCTGCCCATCGGCCAACATCTCGAAAGTGTACAGACCAGGTGATGGATCGCTGTTCGTCCTCCATGACGTGAATTTGTGGCCCACTTGCACCTGCTCTAACACAAAAGAGACGAACACTCCTCAACGCACCATCAGCATCCATCTAACGGAGAGCTCCTGGAAAACCTCAGACCTAACAGTGAAGCTTATCAAGAGGGAAGAAAGTTGGACTTACGATCAACCCTGGGAGGAACGTATCCGTCGGGTAGTCGAAGCTGTCCCACATGGTCCAGTTCGACGAGTTTCGAAGCACTATGTTGCCATTCTCCAGAAACTTTCCGCCCACAACACCGACACCGGACGTGTTGGATGTCCAGACGCTAGAGCCATCAGCGTTTGCGAGCACAAGACTTCCCGCATTGTTAAGCGTCAGAGTAGCCCCGCTCTTGACAGCTCTCTCGCGGTTCATCAGCCACACAGGCGCCACCGGAACTCCCGAGTACCACACCGCCAAGTACAGCGAGCTGGAGTTCGCCGGAATGGGGTAGAATCCCATGGTGAAGGTCCCGTTCTCGGACAGCCATGTCTGGTTGCCGCCGAGAGTGGCATTCAAACCAAACGACTGTGCATCGAGGCTCGCCGATTGAGCCACAATTCTCGTGGTCATCACCATCGACACAGCCACCACCAGTCTGATAGGAACCCATCTTTCCATTGCCACAACGGCTGCGAAAATCACACCCCCAAAGCTTACTCCACTAGCTCTAAAGCAGTTGCAAAACACTCATCCAGCACCGATCATTCAACCCCTCAAACTGCAAAACCTTCACGCGGTGCTTTCATAACTCCAATGAACTCCTATCTCATGCATCAAAGAAATCGCGAGCTACTCGCGGCCATCGCACCGCGAACTCAACATCCGCTGTGGGCCTAAACTACAGCGGGTTTGTTGTGGTGAGATCATGAGGAGAGGCCGTCACGGAAGGTTGTGCGCGGCGTGAGCCATGAGCTCCGCGGCACTGTTCAGCGAAACCGCTCACATCGCTCTCTGTCTGTAAAGGAAACGTCATGGAATCCGTCATCGTCATGGACATTTCGTCTCGCTCTCTCTCCACACACACTCAGCATAAACAAACATGGATATACATTTTTTTATATATTAGATAAATATTAAAAGAGTTTCTCCAAGTAACTCTTTGCCAACAACAAAAACCAATGCGAGACAAAATTCCACTTCATGCCATTAAGTTACCAATGAAAAACAATATTGATAATAAATAGATAAATAAATAATATCCTCCATGATGCGAAGGTTTCAACAACTGCAGGTCTGGCCTTCTTCCATTAGTTTGACTGGCAAGCAAAGGAGAACATGCAGGACATTTATTATTCACCACCTCCCTTGCTGACCTGGCACCACCCAGTACACGTGGATGCCTGCTTACGTGGACCCTTCCTCATCACCTCCAACTTCTGTTGAAATCTATTGAGTCTAACTTTTTTATTAAGAAAATTAATGTATGTAACTTGGGTGATATTTGTTTTGCAATGCTTTTATTTTATTTTTTTCTCCTTCCATTTGAGGATGAGGACTACTTTTTTATTTTTAAACTTTTTGTGAGTAAGATTGGCAGATTATAAGAATTTATATTTACTTATTTGATGTTGCTTGATTCATATAATCATTTATGTTTCATTAGAATCTTGAATTTTTTACAACTGCCTTTATTTGGAAGTGTTACCAAGTTGAAGAATATATATACTATTGTCTCAAATAATTATTTTATTCATTATAAAAAACACGTATTTTTTTAGAGATGTTTGGTGTTTGTTACCAATAAATGAATAAATAAAAGTACTAGTATTTCTTCTTATATTTATATGTATACATGTGAAGTATAACTACAAGAAATATGTTAAGCAGGTAGAGAATTGTGGTGACAATAGCAGAAATTTTTTTGACATGCAACAGATGGAAAATAATACTGATAGCAGCAATACCCTACTTATATATGGCTATAATAGAAAAATAGGATCTAAAATTATTATATTTACTTAGATTCATGTTTATAATATCTACCTTTTTTGATGATAGTCATATATATATATATATATATATATATATATATTACTATTAACGTAACCCAAGCATTTACTAAATCAATGGTTTTTGACCAATGGAGAATTTTTTAATGATGGTTGGGATGGGTGGATTTAGTAAATTCTTGGGTAAATTTAACAATTTCCCGTGTATATATATATATATATACATATATATATATTCTCTGTATTGAATTTGATAGAATTACAAAAGCAAAAAAGAAAATAATAAGATTTCAGTTTCTTAACTCAAAATAATGTATGCTTTTTGAATGTGTGAGAAAAACAACTGCTGCAGACATGAGTTCTTTTTCAATTTCACACCTGATCGATGAAAAAACGGATAGAAAATCACTGGTTTTTAAAGTGACAGGTTTATAAAATCTGGAGGTAACAATATTCGAAGAAGTGCTGTTGGAAGTTAAATTGTGTCAATGGCATTAGTCTTCATTAGCAGCATTTCCGAATGTATAACCTTTATTGATGTTCAGTTTCTGATATTTATTATTTTTTAAAAAAAAACTTGTATAGTGTATGATATCATTAATAGTGATGGTAAATTAAGTTATAACCAAACTAAGAGTTTGTGATTTATTTTAAATTAAAATTTCTAAGTCTTGAATATGACAATATCAATGACATATTTCTTCTTCATTTATGTATATATATATATATATATATATATATAATGAAAAGTATAGAAAATAAGTTTTTTTAAATCATTGTTATTATTATGAAACGCACTGTAACAAAATTGTGTTTACATCCTAAAATCACTCCAACGTATGGAAAATTTTATATTTTTTAATAAAATAAAAATAATAATACATTTTTAGATATGTTAAAATATCTTAAAATTATATATATTATTTATAATAAATAAATAATTAAAAAATATTTAATAAGTTGGTAATATTTGATTTTTATCATTTTAAATTTTAGCATAATTCATAAAATATATGTTTATTTAGTAATTCACTATAGGATCAAATCCTTAAGAGATAAATAGGCTCTTGCATTGGAGAATACATTTTAAGTAATGATTTCATAGAATTTAGTAGAATCACCAAGTAGAAGAAGAAAAAATTAATGTATACAGATTATAGAATAAGAAATGGTGTTTGTGCATGCAAAGAAAATATAATTAGAAACATTTTATGATGTGGAAGAATTTTGATGTAAAAACATTATTCTTCATTTCCATTATCTATAAACCATTCTTCTCATCGTTGTTACATGTATTACAAGTTGAAGGTGGATGTTTTAGGTTAAAGCTAATTTTTTTTGTAAAAATTCTCTTACGGATGCAACAAACTAAAGTTAAGTTTTTGGTTTTAAAGATTCTGTTTTAATTGTTACAAGTTGAAGGGGATTTTTTATTTTTGCTACTATCACCACAACTTACTATCCACTCAATATATTTCTTTTGTTTTTTATGATGCCAAGTAAAAATTTGTTGATATTTTGAATATATATATATATATATATATATGTATATATGTTTTCTTGAATTATATATAAAATAAATTTAAATATTATAAAAATAATAATAATAAAAATATAAAATCAATATAAAACCATAATTTTTAATTAAAAGAAACTAATAAATAATTAATTAAAGATAATACTAAAATAAATATATGCATATATGTAGAAATTTATATATATATATATATATATATATACACACATATATCATAGTTTAAGTTATCATTAACAAAGGATACAGGTGGTATGTAATTGCAAAGGCAAAACTTATAGTGGCATTAGAAATATCTTATGATAATGATAATAATGATCTAATATTATAAAAAATAAAAAATAAATATTCGAAAATAAAATTATAAATATTTTTAGAAATAATTTTGATATGTGGATATTTTACAAGAAAATAATATCAATAATCATATTAAGAATTGAAAATTCAAAACTCAGCTATGGAACTTCCTAATAAATGTCAAAAAATTGTTTTAAAAATTTAAACAACATTAAATTTAATAATCTCAATAACTTATTGATAATTTTTTAAAAAATAATTAATAAGATATACTAACATACTATAGTTTTCTTTAATTGTAAATATTTTAAAAAGAAATTAATGTATATGAAAGAATTCAATTATATATATTATAAAAATATTTTAAAAAATAATAAAATAGTATATTATTTTAAATTATTTTTTATAATATTTATTATTCAAGTCTTCTTTCAAATCATTTAAAATTTTTATATAATTTTTATAAAACCATAAAAATTAAACACCAATTTAAATATTTGTGTCTAATAATAATTATAATAATAAATCAAAATTTTATATTTTTGAAATTATTAAAATAAAAAAATATTTATTTTAATCTTTTAATAAGATTAGAGTTTAAAAAGAAAATAATTATTCATATTTTTAACTTTTTAATTCGTAAAAAAAAAATTTATAGTTAAAAAATAACTTAAACTTTAAGGACTCCATACAATTGTTTGGATACTTTTACCAATAACTTATAAAAGATTTAAAACTTTTTATCATATTATAGAAGCTTTTATTGAATCCATTCTATTCTTATAAATACTTTGTATGCTTTTATACTTATATATATACATATATATATATATATAGGATAATGATAAAATGACCTAAATTTTTACTAAAGCAATCCACTCTATCTTAACTATCATTACATCGTTGGAGCCCCCATCCACGTTTTCAACCATTCGCCATTCTCAACCATTGCTAAGAACAAGGACAAAGGATTAGAAACATTGGAAATGGGAGTGACACTTGGGAACATGGAAATTGCTGGAAACATGGACATGATTGAAAGGGTACAATGATGGTTTAAATATGTAGGTTGATTTAATAAAAATTTGAGTTTGTTTATCATTTCACTATATATATTATAATAATTCAAAAATCTTCCAAAGTCTTTTGTAGATTTTATATAATTAAAAAAAAAAATCCAATCTTTGTAGATTTATATAATAACATAAATTTTTAAATATAAATATCTATTTTTTTATTAGCTTTGGTATAAATAAAAGAAAAAAATATAATATTAGTAATATAAGTTTTAAAGTAAAAAAACAAAAAAATAGATTTGTTTGTAGTTTCAATGATTAATTTATATCAATTTTTTTAAAAAAACAAAAGTTATATTATAGAAGTATTTTAATAAAAATTATAATGTAAATCTTTTGTAAAATATAGCATTCTGGAATAAGATAAAATAATTAGAATTATTTTAAATAATTAATATTAAAATAATCAATAAAAATATAAAAATATAGATAATTAGGCTTTTTAGATGGTTTTACTTTAATATAAAGTTTCTATAGTGATCAAGAAAATGAATTCTCTACAAATTGATTTTATATACTAATTTTTTTGATTATGGTAATTGGATTTATTATAATTTATTAATGTTTTAGAAAAAACTGATATTACACAAATTAACTATTTGATGTATAATTACAAAAAATTTAGTATATTAGAAAGTATTTTTTCTTATATACTTTCATATATATATATATATATATATATCTATATATGAACCAAGTTACAAAGAATAAATATTCAAAATATAAGGATTAAAATATAAATTATTTTCTAACTTAAATTTGTATCTAATTAAGTCTTAATTCAACCAATCTTATGTCTTTTTTATATGTAATTCAAAATACAACCATGCAGCTATATAAGAAGTTACTTAATTATAAAATAAATACATTCTAAAATGGTTAAAGAATGTGGTGCTGATATTAATTTTTATACATAAATTCATTAATGAAATTAATAAAAATATCAATTTTTTAGATAAAATACTAATATAAATTTATTCTAATCTATTTAATTTTTTATTTCTTAAAAATATTTAATAAAAAATTTATATATTCAAAATAATATATTTAAATGATATTTATATTTTATCAAATTATATTATTATAACTGAATAAAGATTAATATAATATATTTATATTTTATATTTAATAATTTTTTATTATTATTATGTTTGACTTTTTAAACTTA